TTCATTTTCGTTTTTCTTTTCGTTCTTCTTCTCATTTTCATCCGCATTCTCATCCTAGTTTTGATTCTAGTTCTCGTTCCCGTTCTGATTCAGGTTTTTTGTATTTCTTCATTTTCTCATTTTTGTTTTGATTCTCGTTCTGATCTTCATTTTCACCCTCATTTCAATTTTTGATGATTGTGTTCTCTCGTTCTCCTTCAGTTGTGATCTTGCGTTCTTGTTTTTTTTTCTCGTTCTGATTCTAGTTTCTTCCATTCCCCTTCTTCTTGTTCATATTTTCGTTTTTTTTTTCTAATTTACTTTTTTCGTCTCTGACTCCCCGTTTTCCTTCATACTCTAATTCTTATTTTCATTCTCATTCTGGTTTTGATCTTCATATTCATCCTCGTTCTCATTCCCGTTTTCATTCTTATCCTTCTCCCTTTTTCCAATATTCCCTCTCCCTCTTGTTCTCATTCTCGTACTGATTCTAGTTTCTTATTTTCATTCCTTTTTGGTTCTGTTTTCGTTCTTTTACATCTTGCTTTTTATTTTTATTCTTGTTCTGATTCTGATTTTTCTAGTTTACTTTTTTGTTCTCTGATTCCTCGTTTTGGTTCGCACTCTAATTTTTATTTTCGTCCTCATTCTGGTTCTCATCTATATTTTCATCCTTGTTCTTATTCTCATTCTTATCTTCCTCCCAGTTTCCAGTAGTTCCCTTCCTTCTGGTTCACGTTTTCGTTCTCATTCTCGTCTTCACTCCCGCTTTCACTGTCATTTTAGTTTTTGTTTTCATTCTAGCAGTGATTCTGTTCCCTCGTTTTCGTTCTTTTTTTGGTTATGTTTTCCTGCTTTTATTCTCGTTCTGATTCTGGTTTCTCGCATTCCTTGTTCTTGATTTTCTTTTTCTGTTGTTTCTGTTTTTTTTGTGCCGCCTTCGTTGGAATCTTAGGTTCCATTTTCGTTTTGCTCCTCATTTTGTTCCTCATTCTCATCTTCGTTTTCTTTCTGGCACTCCACGTTCTGATACTGCTTTTTCATATTTCCGTTCTTGTTTTCGTTCTCTTTTTGGTTTTTCTTCTAATTATTCCTTTTGTTCTATTCCTACTCGTTAACGTTCGCATTTTCGTTGTGATTCTGGCACTTATCCTCATTTTTGTCCTGATTCTGGTTTCTCCCATTCCTCCTTCTTGCTGTTCCTATCTTCATTCTTTTTTCTCATTTTCGTTTTCCTTCTAGTTCTCATCTGCATCTGTATCCTCGTTTTCATTCTTATCCACCTCCCTGTTTCCATTTTTCCCTCTCCTTCTGGTTTTCATTCTCGTACTGATTCTATTTTTTTGTTTTCGTTCTTTTTTGGTTTGGATTCTCTCATTTCCGTTCATATTTTCGCTGTCTTTCTCGTTGTTCTTCAATTTTTTGTTTTTGTTCGCTTCTTTCTCGTTCACATTCGCATCATAGTTCCCATTTTCATCCTTCTTTCCATTTTCATTCTGGATGTTTTCTCATTTTCTTTTTAATTGTGACTCTGTTTTCTCTCATTCATTCTTCTTGTTCATATTTTCAGTTTTCTTCTAGTTTCCTTTTTTATTCTCTGATTTCTCGTCCCTGTTCGCACTCTATTATTATTTCTCCTTTTCGCTTTCATTTTCGTTCTCGCCCTTGCTGTCATCTTTATTCTGATTCTGGTTGTCCTTCTCATTTTAGTTTTCGTTCTCGTCTTCGTTTCTATTTTGCTTTTTTGTTCTCTGATGCCTTGTTTTCGTTCGCACTCCAATTCTTATTTTCGTTCTCATTCGGATTCCCGTCTTATTTTGATTCTCGTTCTTATTCTCATTTTCATTGTTATCTTCCTCCCGGTTTCCAGTCGTCCCTCCCTTTTTGGTTTCTATTTTCCGCATTTTCGTTCTCATTCGCGTCTTCATTCTCGCTCTGACTGTCATTTTAGTTCTTGTTTTCATTCTCGCACTGATTCTGTTTTCTCATTTTCGTTCTTTTTTCGTTCTGTTTTCTTACTTCTATTCTTGCTCTGATTTTGGTTTCTCCCATTCTCCCTTCTTATTGTTCCTATTTTCGTTCTTTTTCTAGGTTACTTTTTTGTTCTCTGATTCCTTGTTTTCGTTCGCACTCTAATTCTTATTTTCGTTCTCATTCTGGTTCTCATCTTTATTTTCATCCTTGTTCTTATTCTCGTTTTTATTCTTATCTTCCCAGTTTCTAGTGGTCCCTCTCCTTCTGATTCTCATTTTCGTCTTCATTCGCGCTCTCACTGTCATTTTAGTTCTTGTTTTCATTTTAGCATTGATTCCGGTTCTTTACATTCCTTCTTCATGATATTCTTATTTTCTTTTTCTTTTAGTTCTTTTTCTTGCCGCGCTCGTTGGCATCTTGGATTCCATTTTCGTTTTGCTCTTCATTTCGATCCTCATTCTCATCTTCGTTTTCTTCTGCTTTTTTGTATTTCTGTTCTTTTTCTCGTTCTTCTAATTGTTCCTTTTGTTCTATTCTTTCTCGTTAACGTTCGCATTTTTGTTGTGATTCTGATTTTCATCCTGATTTTTATCGTTGTTCTCACCCTCATTTTCATCCTCCTTTCCATTTTTCTTCTGATTCTGCTTTCTTTCACTCCCCCTGCTTGTTGTTCCTATTTTCACTCTTTTTTTGTCATTTTGATCGCCATTCTGGTTCTTATCTTCATATTCATCCTCGTTGATTCTAGTTTCTTGTTTTCGTTCTTTTTCAGTTTTGTTTTTCTTTCTTTTATTTTCGTTCTGGTTTCTCACATTTCTTCTTCTTGGTGTTCTCATTTTTATTTTTATTTTAATTGTCCTTCCTGTTACCCTCATCCTAGGCCTAATTTTCCTTCGCCTGCTCATTTTCATCCACATTCTCATTCTAGTTCTGTCTCTGGTTTTTTGAACTGTCTCATTTTCGTTCTTATTTTCGTCCTTTCTGGTTCTTCTTCACATTCTCTTTTCCATTTTTGTTTTGACTCTATTTTCTTGTTTCCTTTCTAGTTGTGATTCTGTTTTCTCCCATTCATTGCTTGTAGTTTCCCTTTTTGTTTCCTCTCGTTCCCTTTCGCACTCTAATTCTCATTTTTGTTCACATTCTGGTACTCATCCTCATTTCCATTTTTTATCCTAGTTTTCATTCTTACCCTCCTCCCAGTTTACCGTATTCCCTCTCCTTTTGGTTTTCATTTTGGTTCTCCTTCTAGTGCTACTTCCCGTTTTCATTTTCGCTTTTATTTCCGTTCTCACCCGTGCTCATCCTCGTTCCAATTTTGGTTCTCATTCTCATTTTAGTTCTCGTTCCCGTTTTCGTTTTCGTTTTTGTTTTGATTTTGGTTTCTCCCATTCCCTCCCCTTATTTTCGTTCTTTTTCTAGTTTACTTTTTGTTCTCTCATTCTTCGTTTTAATTCGCACTCTAATTCTTATTTTCGTTCTCATTCTAGTTTTCATCTTCATTTTCATCTCCGATCTTATTCTCGTTTTCGTTCTCATTCTCGTTCACACTCTCATTGTCATTTTAGTTTTTGTTTTCATTCTCGCACTGATTCTGCTTTCCCGTTTCCGTTCTTTTTTTTCTGTTTCCTTGCTTTTATTTTCGTTTTGATTCCGGTTTCTCGCGTTTTTTCTTCTCATTTGCGTTTGCCTTTTATATTTTGCTTTCTTGCTTTTATTCTCGTTCTGATTTTGGTTTCTCCCACTTCCTCCCTCCTCTTGTTGTTACTATTTTCGTTCTCTTTCTACTTTACTTTTACTACTTTTATTTTTTTGTTCTCTGATTCCTCGTATTTGTTCGCACTCTAATTCTTATTTTGGTTTTCAGTTTCATTTAATCCTCGTTCTTATCTCCGTTTTCGTTCTCATCCCATTCCGCATTTTCTGATTCTGTTTTCTTGTTTCCATTCTTTTTCTAATTCTGCTTTCTAGCTTTCTCAGATAAATTGATTTGAAAGTTGTTTTCAACTACAAAAATTAAAATAGACAAGAATAAACTTTCAAAACAAATTAGAAGCTTAATTTTCTATGGATATGGTACGATATTGTAACTAACCATTTTTATGATTAATGTATCTTTTTTTCTAGATTGTGGACCTCTTGTAATTATAAAAGATTCTTTGATAATTCGTGTTTTCTCAAGATCGAACGTTCACTCCCGTTTCCGTGAGTCTGTCCTTACTCTGTCTGTTGACGATTTCGTTAGACAAAATTCGGCAATTCGCGTAGCTCATAAACGAACAAAAATGTATCTACTCAACACTCATCCCTTCCAAAATAACTGCTGACGTCATTTCAAAACATTATCAATAAATCTCGCTTTACAGCGTGCCAAATTTTTAACCTCACATTTACGGTTTATCGGAAAAATAATAACTGCTACTTTGAAAAGCGTGCCGAGATTTAAAACCTGCCTAGTTTCCCACCTAAAGTGTTATGAATAAAAATGTAATTTATTTCTCTCCCAGTTGCGGTTTCCGTCAGTAGAGAACTCTTTACCCGTTACAAAAAATAAAATCTGGAAATGACAGCACTTTTAAATTAACGTTCCCTTAAAATACGTCGCATAAAAATAGATTTAATCAATTCAAGCGGAAATGAACGTAGATTCTTTTTTTTTTTTTTGTTATATTATGTGGCTATATTTATTCGTGTTCACGACCCCACGACGCACCGCCTTTATTTTTCGCTACTACCTACTTTTATTGCGCAACAGTAGATAAAGTTGCCATTTTCAGTGTTTTACTAGCTTATTTCCATATAAATGAACAATAAAATTTTTTTCGATCACATAAAACGGCTATTTATTCGGATGACGTTATTCCAAGTGTATTCGATAAATGCAGCACTTGCTTTGTTAAAAATTAACGTCATAGCGGCGGTTTAGTGCTACGTGAAGCGTTATCGACGACGTAAAGATAAATCCAAACAAGGTTTTTGCATTATTTTTCTAGTAGTTTAGTTTCTAGTGTTGTGTTGACTGAAGCGACTTAAAAGTGTCCTTTTTCCAGGAATGTAGCACCCAAACACTGAATGCCAAACTATTATGAGTGAGCTGCAGTCGACGATAGAATTTTCCGTGGAATTGTACAAGTTTTACAATGTCGATTTATTTCAAAGAGGGTAAGTCTAAAATTATTCGCGTATACCACTGCTAGAAACTCATGACGTCATCAATTTTTTTTAGAATGTACCAAGTCCGCTGCTCCCTGCGCGTCTCCTCCAAGCTAAGCGTCGAAGTCGAAGTGACCACCCCCGAAGTGAGCGCCGGCCTGGGCACGGCCATCGTCCTCGGCAACTACGGCGCCTGCCGTCCCTTCCAGATCTTGTACCGGAACGAAGAGGTGTCCCTCAAGGATGTGGTACTGTTCAGGTGCCACATGCTGGTCGACGGAAATAACCTGAAGGAGTCGCTGGACCGCGCCGAGTTCTCGTTGGTCCTGGAGCTGTGGTTCAGCGACACCTCGCCAGTGTCCATGGTGATGGTGTCCTCCAGGACGCTGCAGCTCAACATGTCGCCGGCGGAAGGCCTGCACTACCACCTGCCCGTTCTGTTCGATTACTTCCACCTCTCGGCCATCTCGCTGACGATACACGCGGTGTTGACGGCGGTGCACCAGCCATCGATGAAGTAAGGGTGCAGTTGTGGTAGTATTATTGCCGAGCGTAAGCTAAGGAAGTATTGTAATCGTTGTTAGAGTACGAAGAAATAGTTCTTTCGTTTCCGTGTGTCTGTCTGTCTGTCTGCCGTCTGTCCGGATTTTTATTAGACAGATAATCCGCGAAACTGTTTTCAAATTTTGTGTGTATATTAAGACTATCGAAAAATCCAGATTTATTTACCTTCGACCAATTTTTTGATATCACAATTTTCCTTTTTTATTTTATTTAATTTTTTCAACTTCTCGACTTCCAAATTTTTCAATTTTTTGTTTCTTCAATTTTTTTCGGTTTTTCAATTTTTTCCTTTCCTCAATTTTTAAAATTTTTCATTTCCTTTATTTTTTCAATGTTTCTTTCGATTTTATGATTTTTAAATTTTTTAATTTTACAATTTCCGTATTTCTGAAATATCCAATTTTCCAATTTTTACTTCCCGAGCGTATGCAAAGGAAGTATTGTAATCGAGTCCGTCGGCCGACTCTCTACTTTTACGTTTTTTCGATCTTTCATGACCCCTAGAAGACGAAGAAATAGGTCTCCCATTTCCGTCTGTCCGTCTGTCTGTCGGTCTGTCCGTCTGTCCGTCTGCCGTCCCGGATTTTTATTAGACAGATAATCTCCGAAAGTACTCGACCGATTGTTGTGAAATTTTGTACTTATATTAAGAATATCATGTAGATGGTAAAACGCTAACCAAAATTTGTCTAATCATCCCCACCACTAATGCGATGACGTCACTTCAAAATTGTACATAGTAAATGGGTTTTCAATTGTATAAAATAGCATAGTCCTACATATGTAGTTTACAACTCTGAATCGACTTTTCACCCGAAACGTCCAGATTTTTGGAAAAAAAATCAAAATTATAAAACAACATTTTGCAATTTAATTTTGAATCTGCTAACCCGAATGTTTTGAAATGTTGCAGATGTTTTAAGGCTATAAAGAGCATCATAAATCTTTAGTCAAAATATATTTGGTTATCCCCTCCAAAAACTTGATGACGTCAGCTCAAAAGTTTGCCGAAAAAATCATATCTAAAATGTACAAAAAATGATGAGTCTGTACTTGTGATATATCACTCCATCCATATTTTTTGGATTTTGATATACAGGGTGACTCAAAAAAATTAATGAATGCGTAAATTTATTTTATTGGTTTACTCAGGAACTACAAAACCGAATTCTTTGAAATCTACTACGAAAAAAAAAACATAATAGGCATGCAGTCGTACGTTTCCGACAGCGAGGGAAGTACTGTCTAAACTCTTTAGACCATTTTTTTTTATTTTCAATGTTTCGACTTTACAGTATTTGGTTCTTTATTTTTGTACCTTTTCGATTTTTAAGTTTCTCAATTTGTAATCTTTCGATTTTTCAAGCTTTCGATTTCCAGTTTGTAGGTTTTCATTTTACACGTCTTCGTTTTTACTTCCCGAGCGTAAGCAAAGGAAGTATTGTAATCGAGTCCGTCGGCCGACTCTCTACTTTTACGTTTTCTCGATCTTTCATGACCCCTAGAAGACGAAGAAATAGGTCTCCCATTTCCGTCTGTCTGTCCGTCTGTCCGTCCGTCTGTCCGTCCGTCTGTCCGTCTGTCCGTCTGTTGTCCCGGATTTTTATTAGACAGATAATCTCCGAAAGTACTCGACCGATTGTTGTGAAATTTTGTACTTATATTAAGAATATCATGTAGATGGTAAAACGCTAACCAAAATTTGTCTAATCATCCCCACCACTAATGCGATGACGTCACTTCAAAATTGTACATAGTAAATGGGTTTTCAATTGTATAAAATAACATAGTCCTACACATGTAGTTTACAACTCTGAATCGACTTTTCACCCGAAACGTCCAGATTTTTGGAAAAAAAATCAAAATTATAAAACAACATTTTGAAATTTAATTTTTAATCTGCTAACCAGAATGCTTTGAAGCAGATGTTTTAAGGCTATAAAGAGCATCATAAATCTTTAGTCAAAAAATATTTGCTTATCCCCTCCAAAAACTTGATGACGTCAGCTCAAAAGTTTGTGGAATAAATCATATCTAAAATGTACAAAATATGATGAGTCTGTACTTGTGATCTATCACTCCATTCATATTTTTTGGATTTGCATATACAGGGTGACTCAAAAAAATTAATGAATGCGTAAATATATTTTATTGATTTAATCAGGAACTACAAAACCGAATGCTCTGAAATCTTGCAGATGTTTTAAGGTCATAAAGAGCATAATAAATGTTTAGTCAAAATTTATTTGCTTATCCCCTCCAAAAACTTGATGACGTCAGCTCGAAAGTTTGCCGAATAAATCATATCTAAAATGTACAAAATATGATGAGCCTGTACTTGTCATTTATCACTCCATTCATATTTTTTGGATTTGCATATACAGAGTGACTCAAAAAAATTAATGAATGCGTAAATTTATTTTATTGATTTAATCATGAACTACAAAACCGAATGCTTTGAAATCTTGCAGATGTTTTAAGGTTATAAAGAGCATAATAAATTTTTAGTCAAAATATATTTGGTTATCTTCTACAAAAAACTGATGACGTCAGCTCAAAAGTTTGCCGAATAAATCGTATCTAAAATGTAGAAAATATGATGAGTCTGTACTTGTGATTTATCATTCCATTCATATTTTTGGATTTGCATATGCAGGGTGACTCAAAAAAATTAATGAAGGCGTGAATTTATTTTATCGATTTAATCAGAAATTAGAAAACCGAATGCTTTGAAATCTTGGGAATATTTTAAAGTTATTATAAGCATGGTAAACTTTTGTTCAAAATGTATTTGTTCATCCCTCCTAAAAAAATTGATGACGTCACCCTTAAATTTTGCTGAATAAATCTTATCTAAAATGCAAAAAATATGATGAGTTTGTACTTGTGATTTATCATTCCATTCATATTTTTTAGATTTTCTTAAGAGGTGGTTCAAAAAAATTAATGAAGTCAATTTATTTTATTGATTAAATTAAAGGCAACACTTATTATTAGTATTACACCCCAACCAACCCAATTTGGTAGACACAAAATTTGTTAAAGGAAAAACTCGGTTGAAACATAAGGGTAGTACGCTTATTTACATCGACTTTAACATTACAGACCTGCATTTGTTTTATGCGCTCACTTGGTTCCGCGAATGTGAAATAGACATGTTTATAATCAACCAATTGTGAATTTCACCGTCAAGAATTAAAAAAAAACCCAATGTTTTATATAATAAGCGGAAGTCGAAGCAATAAAACCGATGGTCGTTTTGTTTACAGTTTCTCTGTTTGACTCTCACGTATGGTGTTACGCCTGTCATCTTAAATTAAGAATGTTTATACATACACGATTTTCAGTTGCCTCTGATACGTATACGTGACTAAATTGTTTCGTTATTTTATTGATTATTACAAATCAATATTCAAAACGACCCAATTCATTTTCCCGAAAATTTGAGAATATAATAATTTTATTCTTAGTATTACACTACATCTATCCCAACTGATATACGTGTCCTTGCAAAAATGTTGATGACGTCATCGCAATTTTTTTTTAAATTCCCACTACAAAATGTAATGAGAAAAAAAACACAATAGGCATGCAGTCGTCAAGTTTCCGACAGCGAGGGAAGTACTGTCTAAACTCTTTAGACCAATTTTTTATTTTTGATTTTTCAATTTTGCAATTTTGCAGTTTTTCTATTTTTTTTTATTCGAAAAGTTAAAAAATCTAGAAATCGAAAAAATGAAAATTCCAAAAACTGCAAATCGAATAACTAAAGAAACGGAAAGTCGAAACATCGAAAAACTAAAAATCGTAAACTTCAAAATCGAAAAATTGGAAAACCCAAAATTTGTAAAATCGAAAATTTATAGAATCGTCAAAATTGTAAAGTCGAAAAACTGTTTTCATATTGAAAGATCGAAAAATCGAAAAATTGAAAAATTGTATAAATGAAAAAGTTTTAAAATCCAGTAATTGAAAAGTGGAAGAATTCTAAAATCTTAAAATTGAAAAGAACTAAAAATTTTTCAAATCATGATTAGTACAGATAGTTTTTAAAATGAAAACTAGAAAAACTGTAAACCAAAAATTGAAAAATCGAGAAACTCCAAAATCTAAAATTGAAAAAAAATCTAAAAGTTGAAAGATATAAAAATTGGAAAAACGAAAAATTGCAAATTGAAAAATCCAAAAATTGGAAAATTTCACATTGAAGAAAAGAAAAATTATAAAATCGTAACATTGAACAAACGAAAAATTGATAAAATAAAGAAAAGAAAAAATCGAAACCAAAAATTGCAAACCGAAAAGTAGAAAAATCTTGAAATTGCAAAATGTAAAAATGAAAATTCGAAGAGCTGTATTTCATAATATTGAAGTAATAAGAAATTATAAAATCTCAACATTGAAAAATAAAAAAAAATGCAAAAATAAAAAACAATAAAAACCGACACGAAAAATTGCAAATCGAAAATTTATACAAATGAAAAATTAAAGAAAATTCAAAATCGAGAACTAGAGAAATTTTAAATCTAAAAATTGAAGAAACAAAAAAAATGAAAAATTGCAAAAATCAAAGAAAAGCATAATCGAATAATTTAAAAGTTGAAAAATCGAAAATTTGAAAATGTTAAATTTGAAAACTCGATAAATTGGAACTAAAAATTTAAAAAATGAACAATTAACATATTTCAAAATTAATAAATCGAAAAAAATCCTAGAACGGAAAAATCAAAAAATTAATTATCAAATTAAAATATCCTAAAATTTGAAAACTTACAAAACCGAAGAAACGAAAAATTGAATAATTGTAAAATTCAAATAACGAATTATCTTAAAAATAGGTCTAAAAATTGAAAAATCCCAAAACTGTCCTAAAACTGAAAAATCAAAAACTGTAAAATTGTTAAGTTCAAAAATCAGAAAATTGAATAATAATCGAAAAATTGAAAACTGTAAATGTTGAAAAGTCGAAAAATTGCAAAATCGTAAAATTACAGAAATCTAAAATTGAAAAATTGTAAAATGGAAAACTCATAAAATTAAAAAACAGGATGGGAAAAATTCAATAGTTCAAAAATCGAAAAAATGCAAGAATTGAAACATCGAGAAACCGAAAAATCTAAAATTGAAAAAATGAAAAATGTAAAAATCTAAACGCTGCAAAATCGACAAACTGAACACCGAAAGATTGCAAATCGAAAAATCCAAAATTCGAAAAATTTCACATTAGAAAAAAGAAAATGTAAAAATCAGAACATTAAAAAATAATAAATTGAAAAAATTAAGAAAAAAAAACGAAACGAAAAGTTACAAATGGAAAAATTGGAAAATCCAAAAATTCAAAAATTAAAAATTGAAGCCTCGTGTTGAAAAATCGAAAAACAAAAAATTAAAAATGAAAACTCGAAGTGTTGCATTTCGTGAAATTGAATAAACAAAAAATTATGAAATCCGAGCATTGTAAAATTAAAAAATTGTAAAAATGAAGGAAATAAAAAACCGAAACAAAAAATTGCAAATCGAAAATTTGAAGAAATGAAAAATTAAAGAATGGAAAAATTCAAAAAACAAAAAAAATGAAAAATTGCAAAATTCTAAGAAAACCAAAATCGAAAAATGTAAAAGAAAAATCGAAAACTTCAAATATTAAATTTGAAAATTCAATAAATTGGAACGAAAAATTCAAAACAGAACTATTGAAATATTTCAAAATTCATAAATCGAAAAAATCGTCAATTTGAAAACTCACAAATCTGAAGAAACGAAAAATTGAAAATTGTAAAACTCAAATAACGAAAGATTGAAATATCTAAAAAAAAATCCCAAAATTATCGTAAAACTGAAAAATTAAAAATTTTAAAATCGTAAAATTGACCAAATCGAAAATTGAAAACTGTAAATGTTGAAAAATTGAAAAATCGAATAATTGTAAAATTTAAGAAACAAAAATTGAAACATCGAGAAACCGAAAAATCTAAAATTAAAAAAATCAAAAATTGAAAAATCTAAAGGGCGAAAAATTTTAAAATTTCACATTGGCAAAAAGATAAATGTAAAAATCAGAACATTAAAAAACCGAAAAATTGAAAAATTAAGAAAAAACCGACACGAAAAATTTCAAATGAAAAAAATGGAAAATCGAAAAATTGAAAAATTAAAGGTTGAAACCTGGTGTTGGAAAATTAAAAATGAAAACTCAAGGAGATTGCATTTCGTAAAATTGAAAAAAGAAAAAGTATAAAATCCGAACATTGAAAAATAAAAAAAATTGTAAAAATGAAGAAAATGAAAAACGGAAACAAAAAATTGCAAATCGCAAATTTGAAGAAATGAGAAATTAAAGAATTGAAAAATTGAAAAATTCAGAACTCAAAAAATTTTAAATCTAAAAATTGAAGAAACAAGAAAAATCAAAAATTCAAAAAAACGAATAATTAACAATGTCAAAATTAATAAATCGAAAAAAATCGAAACGTTAATTGTCAAATTAAAATATGGTAAATTAGAAAACATGCAAAACTGAAGAAACGAAAAATTGAAAACTCGTAAAATTCAAATAACGAAAGATCTAAAAATATATTTAAAAACTGAAAAATCCCAAAATTGTCCTAAAACTAAAAAATCAAAAATCAAAAATTGTAAAATTGTTGTGTTGAAAAATCGTAAAATTGAAGAAACGAAAAATTGCAAATTGAAAAATTGAAAAATTTCACATTGAAAAAAAGAAAAATTATGAAATCAGAACATTGAACAAACGAAAAATTGATAAAACAAAGAAAAGAAAAAATGGAAGCGAAAAATTGCAAATCGAAAATTTGAAGAAATGAAAAATTAAAGAATCGAAAAATTGAAAAATTAAAAATTGAGAACTCGAGAAATTTTTAATGTAAAAATGGAAGAAACAAAAAAAATGAAAAATTGCAAAATTCACAGAAAAGCGAAATCGAAAGATTTAAGATTTGAAAAATCGAAAACTTGACAATACGAGTATTAAGTTTGAAAACTCGATAAACTAGGAACGGAAAATTCAAAAAACGAACAATTAAAATATTTCAAAATTAATAAATCGAAAAATTAATTGTCAAATTAAAATATGGTAAATTTGAAAATTTACAAAACTGGAGAAATGAAAAATTGAAAAAACAAAAAACTGTTTTAAAAATCAAAAATTGTAGAATCGTAAAATTGGACAATCAAAAAAATTGAAAACTGTAAATGATGAAAAATCGAAAAATTGAAAAATTCAAAAATCCAAAAATAGAAAAATTAAAAAATTTATAAAACAGAAATTGAGAAATCAAGAAACCAAAAAATCAAGGAATTGTAACATTGAAAAATTTAAGAAACGGAAAATTGAAGGATTAAAAGTTCAAAAATCAAAAAATTGAAAAGTAAGTCAAAAAATTTCAAAACCAAACTGAAAAATCGAAAAATTGCAAAATTTTCAAATGGAAAAATCATAAGGCCAAAACATTGAAAAACTGGAAAATTGAAAAAATAAAAAAAGCGGAAAACTGAAACGAAAAATTGCAATTCAAAAAGTTCAAGGATCGAAAAATTGAAAAATTAAAAATTAAAAGGTTGAGAAATTTTATAACGAAAAATTGCAAAATCTAAAAATTAAAGAAACAAAAAAAAAATAAAAACTTCAAAATTTAAAGAAAAAAAAAATTGAAAAATCGAAAAATGTGAAAATTGAAAAATTTAAAAAACAAAAATTGAGAAATCAAGAAAATGAAAAATCAAATAATTGCAAAATTGAGGTATTAAAAAAACGAAAAATTGGAGAATTAAAAGTTCAGAAATCGAAAAATTAAAAAGTCAAAAAACAGAATTCAAAAGTCCTAAGACACCCAAAAATTATTTTTTTGTTTTAAAGTTGGGAAATCGAGAAAAAAAATATCGAAAAATTGAAATAACGAAAAATTATAATACATACATATCTAAAAATCGAAAAATTGCAAAATTAAAAAAAAATTAAAATTGAGAAAAATCTAAAACTGGAAAATGAAAAATTACAAAATCTAAAAGTTGAAAAAACGAAAAACTGCAAATCGAAAAATTGAAAAAATTAAAAATTGAAAACTAGTGTAAAATTGAAGAAAATAACCAAAAATTGCAAATCGAAAACTTAAAGAAATGAAACATTGAAAACTGAAAATTCGGGAAATTTTAAATCAAAAAATTTCAAAATCCAAAAATTGATAAAACGAAAAAAAAATTAAAATCACAAACACAAAAAAATTATAAAAACCGAAACGATAAATTGCAAATCGGAAAAGTGAAAAATTAAAAAAACTCATATCGAAAAATTGAAGAATTAAAAAAGTCGGTGTGTTATTTACGACACTGATTTTTATTTTATATAGGTTATCAGAAAACAAAAATCGCAAAATTCTTTTATAATTTTTCAAAAAAGCGAGACTTGTTTGGCTACACTTAAGGGCTAAGAGAAGTTCTATCTTAATAACCTTCGACCAATTTTCTTAATTTGCCTCATTCTTGTGCTCGCTTTGCTCTAAATCTCTTTTTCGGTTTCAGACGAGGAATCCTCCGATACATGCAAAGCTGGTAAGTAGACTCTAGTGGCTCCGGCCGTGGTAAAACCTTTCTTTCAGTGCTCCTAAATCCTCGAAATCATGGAGTAAAATTCGTTCGGCACATTGTTCTTCATTAACGGATCCCGTCCTTCCAGTGAGTAGTCATAAGATTTATAGCAAAATTAACGAATCTCCACAAATACATTTAGAAGCACGTGATGTTCTATTAGATGCTAGCAATAACTTAAAAACTACTATTAAAGAATATAAGATATTATTTATGCAGAGAGAAGAAACTTTATCTGAAAATTACGATACTTTAATACTGAAGACGCATAGATACGATTCCAAAAAAGTGAGTCCTTTGGTAGATAAGTATTTTGACCACGCTAATTTTTTTTTTGTTTCAGTCTCTCAAAAAACAGGTACCTCTAGCACAGAACAGTTTGTGTTTAGCAGAGTTGTGTGCTGATAATATAAGACTGTGGAATTATTTCCTGTTGAATTTTAGCTGTAAATCTACTGTACAGCAGTATTTGAGCAAAAAGCATCACAACTTGAGGGTGGGCAGGTTTGCCGAGCTGTTTTTTCTCGTATACAACCCCAGAAGAGCGGCGATTGGGTGTTTTGATACCAATTATCAAAATTATCTTCTGGTGGCCGAAATCGCCAAAAGGTAAGCACCATTTTTTTTACTTCCAATTTTTCAATTTTTCAACTTTAGATTCAAACATTTTAATTTGAAAAATGGTAAAATCGAAAACATCAAAAGTCAAAATCCTAAAATTAAATAAACTGAAAATTGAAAAGTTCAGAAGTTGAAAAATGGAAAAATTAAATCAAGAATTAAAAAATGAAAAATTGCTAATAGAAATCGAAAAACTAAAAAATCGGAAAATGAAAAATTGAAAAGTCCAAAGATAATTAAAAAAACATGATGTCGTCAAATCTAAAAATCAAAATCGTCGTATTAAAAAACGGAGAAATTGAAAAATCTAACTATTGAAGAATAGAAAAATTGCAAAATCGTCATATTAAAAAAAAAATTAAAATTTATAGAAACTGTGAAATCGAAAAGCTAAAAATCAAAAATTGAATAATCGAAAAATTACAAAATCAACATACTTAAAAATCGAATAATTTAAAAATTGGAAACTCAAAAAATTGAAAAAACGAGATATTAAATAATTTAAAAAATAAACTCGTAAAACTAAAAATCGTCCAGTTGAAAAATCGCAAATTTGAAAAACTGAAAAATCTCAATGTGGAAAAATCTAAAAATTTAAATCAAAAATTAAAATATCAAAATCAATAAATAGAAAGGAAAAAGTTGTCTGAGCATACGCACTTAGGGAAAAGACTGCATAAAAAATAAGATAAAATACAAAATATGTAACAAGACGTTAAAAAAAAATGATAAAACAAAAATAAGACAAAATTATCGATCAAAATAATGCAAAATTCTAACCTTTCGGCTTCTTCTTCTGCTACAATTTAGCGAATTCCCTCATCTTCATTTACGAACCCACTGCAACAAAAAACACATGAAATTTTTGCAAATTCTGCAATTCCACATTACACATGTTTAATAAGTGGATAAAATTTAAAAAATACTAATCAGAAAAAGTTTTGAAATCTATTTGATATTCCAAATTATTTCAGCCGAAAGAGGAATAAATATCTGGCAAAATATTGACGTTTGAGTTCTCGTTGAAACAAACATATTTATCAAGTCGTTAATCACGAATTGCACAATACAGCTACTTATCCCTTAACATCCGTATTTTTATTTTTATATCAATTTAGAATAAAAGACTGAACAAATAAGGCATAATTTATTGAATAATAACACTTACCCTTTAAATCCTGATTTCCTTTCCCTCCGCGCTGATCCTTGCAGACTCCTTCCTCATGGGCACTTCACAACACTCACATTTCACTTTAAGCCCGAAACGAAATTATTTTTAATAAAAATAAACCAATTAAACTAATTTACAGAGCGCCCGCCGTCAACAAAGTCAAAGACCGACTGAACTCCTTTGCGTAACACGAAAAGTGAACAAAAAGTTCTCGCCGATATCATATCAAACATTTTTTGCTAAGTTTTTATTCACCGATGCATCGCACAGGAAAATGAATCTTAATTACTCCTAAAATACTGCAACATTATTCATTAGCAGAAAATAATTTTCGCCGTGTGTGGACAAATAAGAAATTACCAATGACAATTTACCAAAAACAAATTAGAAAATTGGTCGAAGGCTATTTCGACAGAATTTCTCTCACCCTTGAAGTATAGTCCGACAATCCAGCTCTTTAAAAAAATTACTCCTATAAAATTTGACTTTACGATTTTCGTTTTATGATAACCTCTGTAAAGTAAAAAAAAATTAAAGTAATGAATAATGAAAATACCTAAAAATCAAAAAATTACACATCGAAAACCTGAAAAATCTAATTGTTGAGAAATCGAAAAGTTGAAAAATTTAAAGAACTGAAAAATTGAGAAAAACTGAGATAATGAATAATTAAAATATTTATAATTCGAAAAATCGAAAATTTTTAAATTGAACATTCAAAAAATCGTAAAATTAAAGAAACTTAATACTGAAAAATTCAAAGTTGAAAAATCGAAAAATAAATATGAAGAAACTCCTAAAAATCGAATAATTTAAAAATTGAAAAATCGAAAAATTGAAAAATTCGGAAGTTCGATCAAAAAATAAAAAAAAAATTAAAAATTGCAGGATAAATATCAGAAAACGAAAAGGTCGAAAAATGAAATAATGAAAAATCGGAAAAACATCGAGAAATTTTAATGTTGGGAAAATCGAAAAATTGAATAATTGTAAAGTTGTAGAATCTGAACATGGAAAAATTCAAAAGTTGAATAATTTAAAGAAACGAAAAACAGAAATTGAGAAACTGAAAAGTGGAAAACTTGAAATGACATATAATTATAAAATCTAAAAATCGAAAAATTGCAAAGTAAAAATTGGAAAATGAACAATTGAGATATCAAAAAAATAAAAAATTATAAAATGTAAAAATTGCTAAATTGTTACCTTGAAAAATCAAAACATTTCAAAATTGAAAACTTAAAGAAATTGAAATACCTATATGTTGAAAAATCGAAAAATTTAAAAATTAAAAGAAACGAAAAACTGAGAAGTGGAGGAACTGAAAAATTGGAAAATTGGATTAAAATAAATAAAGTATCTATAAATTTAAGAATCGTCAACTAAAGAAATTGCAAATAAAAAAATTAAAAATCAACAAACCGAAATATGGAATGTGGAATTCAAAAATTGAAAAATCGAAAACTGAGAAACTGTAAAATTGAAAAATCGAAAAATTGCAGAATTTTCAAATTGGAAAATGGCAAAATCGAAAAGTCTGAATGTTCAAAAATCGAATATTAGCAAAGCCTTAAAATTAAAGACACTTGAAATACAAAAATATTAAAATTGAAAGATCCAATAATTGAAAATTTTACAGAAAAAAATTAATTGAGCGAGAACCCGAAAAATCGATAAATTGAAGTAACACATAATTAAAATATCTAAAAATAAAAAAATTATAAATGGAAAAACTGGAAAATCTAAATGTTGAAAAATCGGAAGATTGCAAAATCGGTAAATTAAACAAACTCAAATGTAGAAAAATTTAAAAATTGGAAAATTTAAAGAAACGAAAACTTGAGACAAATTGAAATAACTTGAAATAATAATTAAAATGTTTATAAATCTAAAAATTGTAGAATCAACAAAAGGGAAATCGAAAAATCGAATAACTAAAAGATGGAAAAATAAAACAACTGAAAAATCGGAAAATTGAAGTAACGAATGATGAAAATATCTAAAAATCAAAAAATTGCAAATCGAAAAACTGAAAAATCTTGATGTTGAGAAATCGAAAAATTAAAAGATTGAAAAATAAAGTAACTGAAAAATCGGATAAATAAATAATAAATATTCCGGAAGAATAAAAAAATCGATAAATCGATAAATGTAGGAAAAATCGAAAAACTGAAAAATTCGGAAGGTGAATCGAAAAATTTGAACTTGAAAATTTGAAAAATTGCAGAATAAAAATCAGAAAATGAAACGTATAAATTGAGAACTGAAAAATTGCAAAATAAAAATTGAAACAGAAAAAATCGGAAAATCAACAATTGAAGTATCAAAAAAATAAGAAATCGTAAAGTGTAAAGACTGCTAAACCGTTACACTGAAAAATTGAAACATTGAAAAATTGGATATCTAAACGTTAAAAGATCGGAAAATTTAAAAATTTAAAGAAACGAAGAACTGAGGAATCAGGGAACTGAAAAATTGTAAAATTGCATTAACGAATAAATAAAGTATCTATAAATTGAAGAATTGTAAACTTGAGAAATTGCAAATCGAAAAATTAAAAATTTAGAAACTGAAATATCGAATGTGTATTTTAAAAATCGAAAAACCGGGAGATTGTAAAATTAAAAACTGCTCAAAAATCGAAAATTTGCGAAATCTTAAAATTAAAGACACTTAAAATTGAAAAATTTTGATATTAAAAGATCCAATAATTGAAAATTTTACTGAAAAAAATTATGGGAACGAGAACCCGAAAAATCGCAAAATTGAAGTAACGAATAATTAAAATATCTAAAAATCAAAAAACTAAATAATCGAAAAATTGCAGAATTAAAATCGAAAAACAAAAATCAAAAAAATAAACAATTGAGATACCAAAAAAAAAGAAATCGTAAAATGTAAAAACTGCTACATTGTTACACTGAAAAATCAAAAAATTGTAAGAAAATTTTTAAATTGAGAATTGAAAAGTGGCAAAATAATAATTCAAAAATTGAAAAATCGAAAAATTGCAGAATAAAAATCAAAAAACTAAAATTGAAGGAATATCGGTTAATGGAAAAATCGAAAACTTTAAAGTTGGTAACTGAAAAATTGCAAAATTAAAAAATAAAATATTGCAATAAAGTAAATTGGCCATAATCGTAAAATGTAAAAATTACAAAATCTAAATGTTGAAAAATTGCAAAATCGGTGATAAATTAAAGAAACGAAAATTGAGACGAATTGAAATAACGAATAATTAAAATACTTATAAATCAAAAAATTGTAGAATCGATAAGTGGCAAATCAAAAAATTGGAAAATAGGAAATTTTTAAAATGAAAACCCGAATAATTGTAGATTAAAAATCGAAAAACTAAAAGATCGAAAAATAAAATTATATATGGTGCACCGAGTGATAAAATATTCCGGAAGAATAAAAAAATCGATAAATTGATAAATTTAAACGTAGGGAAAATCGAAAATTTTCAAAATCATAAAATTAATGGAATTTAATACTGAAATATTCAAAAGTTTGGAAAATCGAAAAATTAAAATATCTAAAAATCGAAAAACTAAAAATGAAGAAAATGAAAAATCGAATAATTTAGAATTTGAAAAATAAAAAAATTGTAAAATTCGGAAGTTGAAGAATCGAAAAATTTTAAGTTGAAAACTCGAAAAAAATATGGAATAAAAATCGAAAAATTTAAAGATCGAAAATGAAATAATGAAAATTCGGAAAAAAAGAGTCAAAAGTTGAAAACTCGAAAACTTGAAATAACATGTAATTAAAATATATATCGAAAAATCGCAAATTGAAAAAATGCAGAATTGAAAAATTTAAAAAGTCAGAAGTTGAAAAATCGAAAATTTTTAAATCAAGAACTGAAAAATTGCAAAACAAAAATAAAAAACAGAAAGATCGTAAAATGAACGTTTGAAATCTCAAAAAAATAAGAAATCGTGAAATGTAAAAACTGATAAATCGAAACATTACAAAATTGAATGTTAAAAGATCCAAAAATTTAAAAAAATTGGAAAATTAAAGATACTTAAAATTGAAGAAAACTCGATAAATTTAAAAATTTATAGAAACGAAAAATTCAAAAATCGAGGAACTGAAAAATTGGAAAATTGGATTAACGAGAAAAAGATTATTCGAAGAATTGTAAAATCGAGAAATTGCAAATTGAAAAATAAAGAATCAAGAAACTGAAATATCGATTATGTAATTCAAAAATTGCAGCATAAAAATCGAAAATCTAAAAATGAAGAAACACTGAGAAATCGATTAATTTAAAAATTGGAAAATCAAAAAACTGAAAAATTCTGAAGTTGAAGAATCGAAAAATTTTTATTTGAAAACTAGAAAAATTGCAGATTAAAAATTAAAAAAATAGAAAAAATTTAATGCTGGGAAAATCGAAAAATTGAAAAATCGAGAAATTGGACAGTTTAAAGAAACGAAAATTTGGGGCATCGAGAAACTGAAAAATCGAAAAACTGCAAGTTGAGAAATTGCAAAATCAAAGCATTAAAAAATTCAGAAGTTGAAAAATCGAAAATTTTTAAATTGAGAACTGAAAAACCGCAAAATAAACATCGAAAAACAGAAGAATCGAAAAATGAAGAATTAAAACTGCCGAATCGTTACACAGAAAAATCGAAACATTGCAAAATTGAAAAATTAAAAAATTAGAATACTCAAATGTTGAAAGATCCAAAAATTTTAAAAAATCGAAAAATTAAAGGAACTTGAAATTGAATCATTCAAAAGGTGAAAAATCGAACAATTTCAAAATTTAAAGAAACAAAAAATTCAGAAATTGAACAACTGAAAAATTGGAAACTGGTATTAACGAATAATTAATGTCTATAAATCAAAGAATAGTAAAATCGAGAAATCGCAAATTGAAAAAAATAAAAGAAACTGAAATATCGAATATGTAATTCAAAAATTGGAAGGAACACTGAGAAATCGATTAATTTAAAAACTGGAAAATCGAAATATCAAAAAAATAAATCGTAAAATGTAAAAATTACAAAATCGTTACACTAAAAAACCGAAACATTGTAAAATTAAAAAATGGAAACATCTAAACGTCTTCTAAATCCTAAAAATGAAATAACTGCAAATTCGGAAAAATAAAAAAACGAAAAATCTAAAAATTCGAAAGTTGAGAGAGAAAATCGAAAAACTGTAGAAAAAAATTTAAAAACTCTGAAGATTGGAAAATTTATAAAGAAACGAAAAACTGATAAATTGTAGGAACGAAAAATTGAAATTACGAATAATAAAAATATCTAAAAATCGAAAAGTTGAAAAATAAAAAATCTAAATTTAAAATGGAAAAATCAAAAAAATGCAAAATAAAAATCGAAATTTTCAACGAACGTGCCTCATCAATTACTGAACTGTCTAACATAAAGAAATCTAATTAAGGCCTAAGTCCTTATTCTTAATAGGTCTAATTAATTCATCATTGTTAACCAGGTCCAAGTATATGCAGAGCTTGCCCCCTCTACCGGTGCACTGTGCAGCCCTAGATGGCGACAACACGACGATGCCCATAATTTTCGAAGACCAGTACCAGGATCCTTTCGAATTCGAAAAAAGAAAATGCGACGATCTACTGCCTAAAAAGGGTACCTACTCCTCAAGTTGTGACTTCGCAAAAACCCGCATCTTTTCTTCTAGATTCCACTCCTCTGTTCAAGCGATCAAAAACCGACTCTCAGTGTTCCTGCGGCATCGACAACATCTGGGAGCTGCGCAAATCCTCCGAGAAGACCCTCGTCAGCGCGGACCTCTTCTACGACGATCCCGTAAACTCTATCCCCGCTAGACATAGTAAATCCCTAGATCAACTACAAATGTGTTCAAGAAATAGCATACACTACTCGTTAGGTAACATATTCGGCCAAAACGACTATTACTCGAAGGACCACCACGACAAAGCGAACTTTTATAAGCACGAATCGAAACTGAAGAACGTAGCCAGCGAGCACAACATGGGCAACCAGAAGATGTACGTCTTCGACGAGCGAAGACCCGACTACGAGGTGTGCAACTGTAGCTACGGCTACCGGAAATCGCGCCCCAAACCCGCCGTAGTCGACACGTCCATAGATATAAACCAAGTAGAAGTCGATATTCTAGATAAGAAGTACAAGCAGTTCAATATCAAGAACGCGGCGAAGCAGAAGTGCCAGAAGATCGTCAAGTCGCTGAGCCACACCTCCACGGACAGCATCCAGAACATCTTCCGGTCGAACTCCATGCAGAGCTTCTCGCCGAAGAAGAAAGTCGCCGAAGCCAACAAGTTCAACTCGCTGGTGACCAAGAAGCAGAGGCTGGAAGTCAACGGCTCGGCGCAGCCTTCAGTATTAGAAAGTACAAAAACGTACAATCAAAAGGGCAAATCAAAGACGAGGCGCTGCCAAAACGGCAAAAACTTCGAGATAGGCTCGAGCAGCTCGACGGACAGCCTGTCTTTGAAGAAGCAAACAGGGTTAAATAGCGAAGCTTTACTTAGCGTAGTGGGCATTAGGAAGGTCCGGAGTACTTCGTGTCTGGGGGAGAACGCGTGTCCTTTGGTGCTCTCGGGCACGGAATCACTGCCCAATATCACGCCTGCGGTGGAGAGGACGCACTACCCGGAGCTGAAGTACTACAGTAGTTCTTCGTCGTCCTCCACGAGCGAACAGAGTGGATGGATCACCTCCAGGAGTAGTTCCGTGGCGTCCAGTACGGATGTGGGGAATCCCGTGACGAGCACGCTGCTGACCAATATCGAGAATATACAGAGGAAGATCCTGAATCTGCCTACGGAGACCAGGAGAAGCAATAGGAGAGAGAGAAAGAGCGGGAAGAACAAGTTCGAGATCTCCACGAACGGGCATTACCGGAAAAGCACGAAGTACGAGCGGGATTTTACCTTAAATAATAAAGGTAAGCGATTTGGTACTTTTTCTCAACTGATTTTCATAACTATGGGAAAACTTGACAAAATAAATAATTTATCTAAGTTTTATATTTCCATTTCCTATATTGTCAGGTTAGGTCAGGTTAGGTCTGGTTAAGTCAAGTCAGGTCAGGTCAAATCAGCTCAGTCAGGTCAGGTCAAGTCAAGTCAAGTCGGGTCATGACATAAATAGCAACATAAAAAAGGACAAAAAAAGCTGAAAAGTTAAAAAGCCGAAAAATAAAATTGCTAATCCAAAAATGAAAAGTGAAGAAACTGAAAAATTGAATTGGTTAAAAATTTCAAAATAGTCGTAGTCAAAAAATCGAAAAATTTTAAATAGGAAATTCGAAAAATTGCAAATCGAAAAACTGAAAACTCGAAAAATTAGAGTTGAGGAAACTAAAAAAATTAATAATCCTTTAAAAATCCAAAATTGAAAGGTGCAAAACTTTAAAACTCAAAACATTTCAAAATGAAAACTCGAACAAATTACAAAATAAAATGAAAAATCGAAAAATTTCAAACAGAAAAATGAAAAAACAGAAATTCTAAAATGTAAAATTGTAACATCATAAAACCGAAAAACGAAAAATTATCAGACAGAAAAATTATAAAATAAAAATTTGCAAACTGAAAAACTAAAAAGGTGAAAAGTCGAAAAATTTTAAACTGAAAACTTGAAAAATTGCAAAATAAAAATCGGAAAACTAAAAAATTTGAAAATGGACTGATTGAAAAATCGGAAAAATTGAAAAATCTGAATGTCGGAAAATTGAAAAATTTAAAGAAACGAACAATTCAGAAATAGAAAAACTGAACAAATCGAAAAATTAAAAATGAAGAAATTGAAACATTTTGAATAGAATCAAAAAATTGAGAAATAGAGAAATTGAAACATCCGAAAACCAAAAAATCGGAAAAAATAAAAAAGTGAGAAAGCATAAAATCTATAAATTGGTAAAATGGTAAAATTAAAAAACTTAATTGAACCCGAAAATCGGAAAAGCCTAAATATAGAAAATCGAAAAATTAAAAATGAAGAAACTATAAAAATCGGTTCATTTGAAAATTGCGAAGTACAAATTGACGAATTTAAAAGTTCAAAAATTGAAACATTTTAAATAGAAAACTCGAAAACTTTAAACAATTTGAAAAATGAAAAATTGGGAATTTAACAAATTGCAAAATAGAAATCGAAAAACTAAAAAATCCAAAAATGTAGTAATTGAATAATCGGAAAAATTAAAAAACCCAGAAATCGTAAAATCTTAAATTGCAAAACCGTAAAACTGAAAAAACAAAAAATTGAAAAACTGTCAAAATGAAAAATCACAAAATTGAAAAATCTAAATGTTGAAAACTACAAAAAATTTAAACCAAAAACTTGAAAAACTGCAAAATAAAAATCGAGAACTAAAAATGAATAAAATGAAAAATCGAATTTGTTGTAAAATTGGCAAAATGAAAAATCCAAAAATTGTAAAATCAAAAATTTTAAATTCGAAAAATTGCAAAACAAACATCGAAAAACTAAGTAATCGCAGAATCGAATAAATGATTCGGAAAAATCACAAGACTGAGAAATCTTAAAATCCAAAATTGAAAAATCGTAAAACTGAAAAAGCGAAAAATTGAACAATTGCCAAATTAAAAATACACAATAATTAAAAATGTAAATGTTGAAAAATTGTAACATTTCAGGAAAAAAAAATCAGAAATGGAGAAACTGAATTATCCAAAAGCTACAAATCGAAAATTAAAAAATTGAAGAAACTGAAAAATCGGAAATTTGAAGAATTGCAAAATAAAATCGAAAACCAAAAAATCGGATAAAATAAAAAAGTGAGAAAACACAAAATCTATAAATTGTTAAATGCTAAAACCGAAAAATTGAAAAATCAATTATGATAATACTGATAGCAAAATCGTAAAATTAAAAAAAACTTAAAATTGAAAAATTTAAGTCGACAAATCGTAAAATCGTATAATTTAAAGAAACGAAAAATTGAAAGATGGAGAGACCGAAAACCGAAAATTTCCAAATATCGAAAATCTAAAAATGTTGAAAAAAGAAAAATTTTAAATAAAAAACTAGAAAAATTTAAATAATTGTCAAATCAAAAAAATCTAAATGTTGACAATTGGAAAAATTTTAAACAAAAACTTGAAAAACCGCAAAATAAAAATCGAAAAAGTAAAAATCGGATCGTTTAAAATTGCAAAATTGGCAAAATGAAACATTCAAAAGTTGGAAAACCGAAAATTTCAAATTGAAAACTCGAAAAATTGCAAAACAAACACCAAATAACTAAAAAATCGAAAAATGAAATAAATGAAAATTCGGAAAAATAAACAAAATTGAGAAATCGTAAAATCTACAACTGTAGAATCGTAAAACTGAAAAATGAAAAATTTTAAAATTTCAAACTGAAAAATTAAATGTTGAAAATTTGTAAAAAAAATGAAAAATTGTGAAATAGAGAAACTGAAAAATCCGAAAATTACAAATGAAAAAATTTTAAAAATCGAAAAATTTTACATTGGAAATTCAAAAATTGCAAAATAAAAATAAAACAAATAAAAAACAGTATGATAAAAAATGCAAAATTTAAAGAGAGAAATACAGAAACTGAAAATTGAAAAACTAAAACCGAAACATTACAAATCAAAAAACTGAAAAATCGAAAAATTAAAATTGAGGAATTTAAAAAATTTATTAATCCTTTAAAGAATCCAAACTGGAAAGTTCCAAAACTAGAAAACTCAAAAAATTGCTAAAAAATTACAAAATAAAAATTAGGAAATTGAAAAACTAAAAAGTTGACACACGGAAAAATTTTAAACTGAAAACTCGAAAAATTCAAAATAAAAATCGGAAAATTGACCGTTTGAAAAATCGGAAAAATTAATAAATTTCATTGTTGGAAAATTGTAAAATTTTAAAGAATTGAAAAATTCAGAAATAAATAAAACTGAACAAATCGAAAAATTAAAAATGAAGAAATTGAAAAATCGAATAATTTGAAAATTGAAAACGCGGGAAACTGAAAAGTGGAAACATTTTAAATTAACAACTTGAAAAACTGCAAAACAAAAATAGTAAAAGAAGCGAAAAATTGTGAAACAGAAACTGAAATATCCGAAAACTGCAAATCGAAAAATTAAAAAATCGAAAACCAAAAAATCGGAAAAAATAAAAAAGTCAGGAAACATAAAATCTATAAATTGTTAAACCGTAATACAGAAAAATTGAAAAATTAATAATGATAATACTAATAGCAAAATCCTAAAATTAAAAAACTTATAATTGAAAAATTCAAAATTCCACAAATCGTGAAATTGTAAAAATTAAAGAAACGAAAAATTGAAAGACGGAGAAATTTAAAATCGAAAAATTAAAAATGAAGAAACTGAAAAAATCGATTTACTTAAAAAAAATTTAAATAGAAAACTCGAAAGACTAAAAAATCGAAAAATGGAATAATTGAATCGAAAAAATTAAAAAACCGAAATTTCGTAAAATCTTAAATTGTAGAACCATAAAACTGAAAAAGCAAAAAACTCAAAAATTCTCGAAATGCAAAATCACAAAATTGAAAAATGTAATGGTGACAAATGCAAAAATTTTAAACTAAAAGATTGAAAAACTACAAAATAAAAATCGAAAGCCTAAAAATTAAGAAATTGAAAAATCGGATAGTTTAAAAATTGCAAAATTGACAAAATGAAAAATTCAAAAGTTGGAAAATCCAAAATTTTAAACTGAAAATTTGAAAAATTGCTAAACAAAAATCGAAAAATGGAGTAAATTAAATTTCGGAAAAATAAAAAAATTGAAAAATTGTCAAAATGAAAAATTAAAAATGGAAAAACGGAAAAATTGAATAATTTGAAAATCGAAAAATCAGGAATTTGAAAAATTGCAAAACAAAATCGAAAAACCAAAAGTAGGAAAAATTAAAGACAGAAATCATAAAATCTATAAACTGTTAAATCGTAAAGCCGAAAAATTCAGTAACGATAATACTAATAGCAAAAAAAAATAAAATTAGAAAATTGAAAGATGGAGAAACCAAAAATCAAAAAATTGTGAAGTCGAAAAATTGCAAATCGAAAATCGAAAAACTAAAATTGAAGAAACTAAAAAAAATCGAATCATTTAAAAATGCAAAGTTAACAAATTGAAAAATTTTAAAGTTGAAAAATCGAAATACTTTAAGTTGAAAACTTGAAAAATCTAGATGTTGGACAATTGTGAAGAAACGAAAAATTGGGAAATAGAGGAACTGAAAAATCCGAAAATTACACATCGAAAAATTAAAGATGAAGAAACTGAAAAATCAAATCATTTGAAAATTGAAAAATTGCAAAATAAAAAGCGAAAAACAAAAAGATCGAAAAATGGAATAATTGAAAAATCGGAAAAATCAAAAATTCTAAAGTTGATAAATCTCAAAATTTTAAATTGAAAACTCGAAAAATTGCAAAATAAAAATCTAAAAATGCAAAATCCTAAAACCGAAAAATCCAAGAATTTAAACACAGGAAAGCCGAAAAATGGAATAATTGAAAAATTGGAAAAAACAACTGAGAAATATTTATATCAAAAAAGTGCAAAATCGTACAATTGCAAAAATTGTCAAATTCAAAAATCTGCACAAAGCTGAACAATTAAAGAGTTAAAAAATCGAAAATTGGTATGATAGAAAAATCGAAGAAATTAAGAAAAATCAAGTAATCGTAAAATCTATAAAAAAAATTGACAAATTGAAAAATTCAAAAGTTAGAAATTCAAAAATTAAAATTCGAAAAACTGAAAAATTTAATAATTTAAAAATTGAAAAAATGGAAAACTAAAACATTCGAAAGTTTAAAAATCGAAAATTGAAAAAGTGCAAAATAGAAATGGAAAACCTACAAATCTAAAAATTACAAAATCGATAAATTGAACAATCGGAAAATTAAAACTGCCAAATTGAAAAATCACATAAATGAAAAGTCTTAATGTTGAAAATCCTAAAAATTGTAAAATTTAAAGCGAAAAATTGAAAAATCCAAAAATCAAAAATTAAGAAACTGAAAAATCGGAAAATTGAACAATTTAAAGAAACGGAAAACTGAAAAATTAAGACATCGAAAAATGCACAAGTGACATGCCAAAACAGGAAGTGACCTGACTTAGCTTACAAAACTCCTTAGAACTACCAACCTAAGGACGATTTTTTTCGCTAGTTTTTACGTTGCTGGAATTATATTTTTAAAATCGAGACACCACAGATAACATCAAGTTTTTGGAGTAAATAAACAATTAATTATGATAAGTTTAAAACTTTTAGAAGATTCCACAGTTTCAGTGTAAAATGTTTTTAGAAGTTTGATTTTTTTATAAAGAAACTAGTACACCCTAAGGGGAAAATAAGGGCAGACTAATAACCCACATGTACAGAAACATGTTATTTTGTAAAATTTAAGTAAGATTTACATTGCAAAATTTTGAGATGAAATCACCAAATTGTTGAGGAGGATGATCAGACAAATTTTGGTTAGCGTATTATTATTAGTTAATCTACTGACTGAGTTTTAGCTCGTACGTTCTACAAGTTAGTTTGCCAAAAATGTCACAATATTTGGCATAGTCCTTATACATGTAGGCTGCAAAAACCCACATCTTTTCACATACGATTTTCATCCTCCCGAAGTCCCACTTGCCCAATTTTGCTTACCGAACCCCCTTTTTCCAGGCTGTGAATTTAATCAAAGTAATATTTGCGACGACATCGCGTTACCTCCCCCGAAACAATTTAGAGATTTAGATTCGCCCAGCAGTTCGGTCACAAATGGCACAAACGAAGACGAAATCAACGCCGTCGACAACATCCTCTACCACGTGGTCGACACCCAGACCACGCTCGAGAGGAAACCCATCCTCCTGGACGAGCAAAAGACAACGAAACACTCCCAAGGTAAACGTCGCCGTCGTTCTTTTCGTGACAATCCACCGACGCACACTTTCAGACTACACCTTCTACAGAGGATCGAAATCCGAATCGGAGAAAGCGTTTCTCCGCGCCAAAAATGAGTTCAAAAGTCAATTAAATTTTCCCGGGATCTTGTATTCCGACATTTCGTCGTTCGCCTCGACGATTCCGTATTTTCACATAAGCGACGAGTTTCGAATATTCTCGCCTGAGGGAATGCATTTGATTGTGTGCGTGCACGGCCTAGACGGGAACTCGGCCGACTTGAGGCTGGTCAAGACGTATCTGGAGTTGGGGCTTCCGGGGGCATATCTCGATTTTCTTATGTCCGAGAGGAACCAGGGGGATACTTTCAGCGATTTTGATACCATGACTGACAGGTGAGGACAATCTTGTCAATATGTTTAGAAAAAAAAGTGCGACTTGTTGCTATATTTTTCAGACTGGTCAGCGAAATCCTGCATTATTTAGATACGAGTAGCATCCGACCCACGAGGATCAGCTTCGTGGGTCATTCCCTAGGTAATGTAATCATTAGATCTGCCTTAACGCGGCCCCAGATGAAATTTCTACTACCAAGACTGCATACTTTCTTATCACTCTCTGGACCACATCTGGGAACTTTATACAACAGTAGCGGATTAGTTAATATGGGTAAATGGGTTCATGGAAAAAAAATGACGTTCTAATTTGGGTTGTAGGTATGTGGTTTATGCAAAAATGGAAAAAATCAGGGTCTCTCCTCCAGCTCTGTTTGAAGGATTCGAACGATGCTAGGCAATCCTTTTTGTATAGACTGAGTCAGAAAAGCAACTTACAGCATTTCAGAAACGTACTTCTGTGTGGATCGGGACAAGACAGGTAAACTTATTAATTAAAATATTGTTACACAGCCTAAGCTTTACTCAATTTATTATGATGGTGTGCCGGTAAAGGACGGAGCCAACTAGGCAGCCTGATTCATTAGAGCTGAAAATTCGGTACTTACATATATCGTGACAAAAAGGGTTCGATTCGAAAGTAATTTTAAAAAAAGAGTGAGAACCATCGCGACAACTAATATTTACTCGAGAGTAACTAATTGAACTCTCCTCGTAATTTTCAGTAATTAAATAAAATTCTCAGAAATTTCTTCGTCTTTTACTATTCTAACTAAAGATGGTAAAAAAATTTGGTAGATTATTTCGACAGAATTCCCTCACCCTAAGTGAGGCCTAATAAATCCCGTTTCTTTGAAAAATTGTAAAATTTTGATTTTACGATTTTTATTTTGTGATCACCAATATATCTATAAAGTAAAAACCAAATAAATAATAACTTCGAAAAATCGAAAATCGAAAATACTGAAAACTTCCGGAAAGTAAAAAAAACGAAAGGTAAAAAGATTGAAAATTCTAATATCGACAAATGGAAAATTCGAAAAATTGAGAACTCGAGAAATCAAAAAATCGAAAAATAAAAAAATTAAGAATCGAGAAGTAAAAATTGAAAAGTAAAAAAATACAAATCGAAAAACTGAAGAATGGAAAAACTGACAATCGAAAATTAAAAGAAGAAAAGTCTAAAAACTGAAAAAAGGGAAAAATTGAAAAATCGAAAATTCAAAGCATAAAAAATTCGAGAAATCCAGAAGTAAATAAGAAGTAAAAAATCGAAAATTCTAAAAACTAAATATAAAAATTGAAAAATCGAGAATTCTAGAAATCAAAATCGAAGAGTAAAAAAAATAAAATCGAAAAATTGAAGAATAGAAAACTAGAAAAGTCTAAACACTGAAGAAAGGCAAAAATCGAACATCCAAAAACTTGCAAAACTAGAAAATCTAAAACTCGCAGTCGAAAAATGGAAAAACTGAAAAGTCGAGAAATCGAAATGAAATGAAAACTCTAAAGATGGAATCGAAAGTCGAAAATTGAAGAAACGAAAATTGGAAATCTCAAAAAGTCGGAAAATTGAAAAATCCGGAAATTGAAAAATCGAAAAGGAAATAAATTGAAAATTCGAACTTTGAAAAATGAATAAATCGGAAATCGAAAATTTAAAAATCTAGAACTCGATAAATAAAAAAAAAATCGAAAATTAAAAAAATCAAAAAATCAAATGTATGTAAATCTAAAAACTAAATGTAAAAATTGAAAAATCGAAAATTCGAGAAATCAAAAATCGGAAAGTAAAAAAAAATCAAAATCGAAAAATTGAAGACTAGAAAAATTGAAAATTGAAAAGTAAAATAAGAAAAGTCTAAAGACTGAAGAAAGGGAAAAATTGATAAATCGAAAATTCAAACAATCAAAAATCGAAAAATCGAAAATATAAAAATCAAGAGACCGGAAAATAGAAAAATTGAGAAATCAAGAAATCGAAATTAAATAATTGAAAACTAAAAATGGAATCGAAAGCCGAAAAATTGGAAATTTGATGAATCAAATATTCGAAAAATCGAAAATTGATAAAACGAACAAAAAATCAGAAAGTCGAAACATTTGACAAAGCGAAAATCAAAAAATCGAGAACTCGATAAATACAAAAATCGAAAAATAAAAAAAAACGAATAATGGAATTTATAATTCGAGAAATCAAGAAATAAAAATTTGAAAAACAAAAACAATCAAAATTCGGAAATCAGAAAAATCGAAAAATTCGAAAATCTAACAATCGCAACATCGAAAAATGGAGAAATTCAAAAATCAAGAAATCGAAATTAAAAAACTGAAAACTCTAAAAATGTAATCGAAAGTCGAAAAATTGAAAAATGTGAAAATTGACAAAGTGAAAAGTAAAAACACAAAAAATTCTAACTTCGAAATATGAACCAATCGCTGATTCGAAAATCGAAAAGTAAAAGGATTGAAAATTCTAATATCGACAAATCGAAAACTCGAAAACTCGAGAAATAAAAAAAAGAGTAAAAAAATTGAAAAATAAAAAAACCGAAGAATTGAATAAAAAATTCGAGAAATTAAAAATCGAAAAGTAAAAAATAAAAGTCTAAAAACTCAAGAAAGGGAGAAATTGGAAAATCGAAAATTCGAACAATCAAAAATCAAGATATCGAAATTAAAAAACTGAAAACTCTAAAAATGGAATTGAAAGTCGAAAAAATTGAAAATTCGATGAATCAAAAATTCAAAAAATCGAAAATTGAAAAAAATTAAAAATCGAGAAGTAAAAAAATACAAATCGGAAAACTGAAGAATGGAAAAACTGGCAATCGAAAATTAAAGAAAGAAAAGTCTAAAAACTGAAAGACGGGAAAAAAATCGAAAATTCAAAGCATAAAAAATTCTAAAAATCGGGACTCGAAAAATCAAAAAACTGAATTATGGAATAAAAATTCGGGAAATCGAGAAATAAAAAATTGAAAATTCTAAAAACTAAATAATATAAAAATTGAAAAATCGAAAATTCGAGAAATCAAAAATCGAAAAGGAAAAAAATAAAATCGAAAAATTAAATAATAGAAAACAAGAAAAGTCTAAACACTGAAGAAAGGCAAAAATTGAAAAATCAAAAATTCAAACAATCAAAAATTGAACATGCAAAAAATTGCAAAATTCGAAAATCTAAAAATCGCAGTCGAAAAATGGAAAAACTGAAAAATCGAGAAATCGAAATGAAATGAAAACTCTAAAGATGGAATTGAAAGTCGAAAAATTGAAAATTCAATTAATCAATATTCGAAAAATTGAAAATTGAAGAAACGAAAATTGAAAATATCAGAAAGTCGGAAAATTGAAAAAGCGAAAAGGAAACAAATTGAAAATTCGAACTTTGAAAAATGAACAAATCGGAAATCGAAAATTTAAAAATCGAAAATTAAAAGGATTGAAAATTCTAATTTCTACAAATCGAAAATTCGAAAAGTCGAGAACTCGACAAATCAAAAAAATCAAAAAATCAAAAATCTGGGATTGGAATAAAAAATTCGAGAAATCGAGAAGTAAAATTTTTAAATCTAAAAACTAAATGTAAAAATTAAAAATTCGAGAAATCAAAAACCGGAAAGTAAAAAAAAATCAAAATCGAAAAACTGAAGACTGGAAAAATTGAAAATTGAAATGTAAAATAAGAATAGTTTAAAGACTGAAAAAAGGGAAAAATTGATAAATCGAAAATTCAAACTATCAAAAATCGAAAATTCCAAAAATCGAAAATATTAAAATATAAAGATCAAGAGGCCGAAAAATAGAAAAATTGATAAATCAAGAAATCTAAATTAAATAATTGAAAACTAAAATTGGAATCGAAAGCCAAAAAATTAGAAATTTGATGAATCGAATATTCGAAAAATCGAAAATTGATAAAACGAACAAAAAATCAGAAAGTCGAAACATTGACAAAGCGAAAATCAAAAAATCGAGAACTCGAAAAATAAAAAAGAAGAAGAATGGAATTAATAATTCGAGAAATCAAGAAATAAAAATTTGAAAAACAAAAACAATCAAAATTCGGAAATCCGAAAAATTGAAAAATTCGAAAATCTAAAAATCGAAACATCGAAAAATGGAAAAATTCAAAAATCAAAAAATCGAAATTAAAAAACTGAAAACTCTAAAAATGTAATCGAAAGTCGAAAAATTGAAAAATGCTGAAATTGGCAAAGCAAAAAGTAAAAAAACTAAAAATTCGAACTTCGAAATATGAACAAATCGCTGATTCTAAAATCGAAAAATCGAAAAGTAAAAGGATTGAAAATTCTAATATCGACAAATCGAAAATTCGAAAACTCGAGAAATCAAAAAAAAAAAATAAAAAAAACTGAAAAATAAAAAACCGAAGAATAGAATAAAAAATTCAAGAAATTAAAAATCGAAAAGCAAAAAAAATAGAAATCGGAAAAACTGAAGAATGGGAAAATGGAAAATCGAAAAGTAAAAAAATAAAAGTCCAAAAATTCAAGAAAGGGAGAAATTGGAAAATCGAAAATTCGAACAATCAAAAATCGAAAATCTTAAAAATGAAACTTCGAAAAAAGGAAAAATTGAAAAATCGAGATATCGAAATTAAAAAACTGAAAACTCTTAAAATGAAATCGAAAGTCGAAAAAATTGAAAATTTGATGAATCAAACATTGAAAAAATCGAAAATTGAAAAAACGAAAAGTAAAAAAATTGAAAATTCGAACTTAAAAAAATTAACAAATTGAAGATTCTAAAACGGAAAATCGTAAATTCCAAAAATCGAAAAGCAAAAGGATTAAAAATTCTAGTATCGACAAATCGAAAATTCGAGAACTCGAGAAATCAAAAACTGAAGAATGAAATAAAAAATTCGAGGAATCGAGAAGTAAAAATTTGAAAAGTTTAAAAACTAAATAACCTGAAAATTTGAAATTCGAAAATTCGAGAAATTAAAAATCGAAAAAAAAAAAAATGAAAATCGAAAAACTGTAGAATGGAAAAATGGAAAACCGAAAAGTAAAAAAGGGAAATCTAAAAACTGAAGAAAGGGAAAAATTGAAAAATCGTCTATTCAAACAATCAAATCGAAAAATTTTAAATTAAAACTCGAAAATTTAAAAAATCTAAATATTGAAAAATTGTAAAAAAACGAAAAAAGTTAAAAAAAATCGGAAATTTAAGAATGAAGAAACTGAAAAATCAGTTAAATTTGAAAATTTTAAACAGAAAACTTGAAAAATTGCAAAATAAAAATCGAAAAATGGAATAATTGAACACTCGAAAAAATCAAAAACTGAGGAATCGTAAAATTTAAAAATTGCAAAATCGTAAAACCGAAAAATCGAAAAACTGTCAAATTGAAAAATTCAAAAGTTGAAAAATGGAAAAACTGGAAATTCTAAAGTAGATAAATCTCAAAATTTTAAATTGAAAACTCGAAAAATTGCTAAATAAAAATTGAAAAACTAAAAAATCGTAAAATCTAAATGTTGAGCAATCGAAAAATGGTAAAATCTAAAGAAACGGTAATTGGGAAATAAAAAACTGAAAAATTGAAAAACGGAATAATTGAAAAATTGGAAAAAACAACTGAAAAATAGTGAAATCAAAAAGCTGCAAAATCGTAAAATTGGAAAATCGAAAAATTGTCAAATTGAAAAATCGACAAAATGAAAAAATTGAAGAGTTAAAAAATCGAAAATAGTTATGATCGAAAAATCGAAGAAATTAAGAAAAACTAAGAAATAGTAAAATTTTAAATTGTTACATCTTAACACTGAAAAATCGAAAAATTGACAAATTGAAAAGTAGAAAACTCGAAAACTTGAAAAAGTGCAAAACAAAAATGGGATGACTACAAATCAAAAAATAAAATAATTGAAAAATTAAAAAAAATAAAAAATTGAGAAAGCGTCAAATCTATAAATTGCAAACTCAAATTAAGAAAAATTGAATTCAAAATTCGAGAAATGTGAAAAATAAAAAAAATAAAAATTGAAAAAATGAAGAAAGGAAAAATTGAAAATCGAAAAGTAAAAAAGAAAAGTCTAAAAGTTGAAGAAAAAGAAAAATTGGAAAATCGAAAATGCAAACAATCAAAAATCGAAAAATTTGAAAATCTAAAAATCAAAAAGTAGAACAATGGAAAAATTGAAAAATTAATAAATCGAAATTAAAAAATTGAAAACTCTAAAAATGGAATGAAAAGTCGGAAAATTGAAAATTCGATCAATCTAATATTCGAAAAACCGAAAATTGAAAAAACGAAACTTCAAAAAATCAGAAGGGCGAAAAATTAACAAGTCGGAAAATCGTAAATTCCAAAAATCGAAAAATCGATTAATCAATTATTCGAAAAATGGAAAATCGACAAATCAAAATTCGAAAAAACCAAAGCCCAAGAAATCGAAAATCCAGTGATCTAAAATTCGCGAACTCGAAATATTGAAAATCGAAAATTCGGTTAATCAAATATTCAAAAAAATGCAAATCACTTTAAAGCGTTCATGATTTCAAAGCACTAGATTATACAATTTCAAATGTATTCAATTGTAAAATGTTGTTGTTATACAATTTGGATTTTTTCCCCCAAAAATCTGGACGTCTAGGGTAAAAACTCAACACAGATTCATGAATCACACATACAGGAGTATGTATATAATTCTGTAAAATTTAATGCAAAACACGGAGGACAAATCCGGTTATCGTTCATTTTCGAAAAGGAAAGACTGTTGAAGCTATTCAAGAATTCATTTCTCCAGCTTTCAAAAATGGAATCGAATGTTTGTTTACAAATCAAAAGAAATGAATATTTGAATAACACATATTTAAACACACAAAGAAAAAGAGAAATCTAAACTAAGCTGACTGAATAGTAACACTCTGGGTATTTCTATTTCTATACCCAAAAACTTGCCGCATATTATACCCTCTATCCCGATTTCGCAAAATAGCCCCTTGAAATTTACAATTTAACATTTGTTAGGGCAAAACCGCCTGTTTTCACTAGTAACCATGTTTTCGATCGACGTTTAAGCCCATTTTAGATGACATAAATGAACCATTTTAAATCTTGAGATAGGGGACAAAATACGATAAAGGGCAAAATCACTGAAAAGAAAAAAATAAAAACTAACGTTTTAGGTGTAATTTTTTGTTAATAGATTAACACTACAGGATGTTAAAAAGCAATTTATAATAATGTCCGCGAAAATATTTTAATAGGCAGCAAATGAAGGACTAGATTTTTTTTCTAAGCGAGGAGCAGTTTTAATTATAAAATAATAATAAATTTTAATACGTTAATAAAATTTATTTGGCCTTTGTTGAAAGGAAAGTGGTTACAAATACAATTAAATGAGCATTCAAAATAACTTAATTCTCTACAAAATATGTTTTTTGGCTTCAATACTACACGTAATTTGGTGCATCGACGAAATGCCTGGAATGTTGAAAATATCTCTGTAACGCTTGGTTCTTAATTTTTCCTGCTGTCTTACTCGCATCTTTTCATTTTTGTTCATGTCATTTATTTTCTTTCGATTTTTTAGATTGTACTCCGTGTCTTTCATTCTTTTTAAATTTCCATCTTTTTCCGACATTCTTACACGTTTTTTTTTTCACGTTTATATTCTCGTTTTCAGCTGCAGTTTCCTTCGTTTTCTTAAACATAAAATGATATGGCCGTTAGCCACTATAGATAAGAATTTATCGGTAAAATTAAAAATAAGGGGACCGGCGTTACAGGGGACCGTCGTCACAAAATACGTTTAATATATATATTTTGTAATTCGCAATAATCTGAAATTTAGCACATAACCATTTAATCAAATTGTTTTCAATGCTTTATTGGACAAACATAATTCTTACGCTATAAAATTGAAAATACCGTTTATATCAGCGGGGACCGTCGTTACTTTAGAAAACATATTTTTTCAAATTACGAATAAATGATGTAAATTAAACGTGAAAACTACAACAACAGACAACTTAACTGTTTGGCCATTTTTTTCACTCACTTTGTCAACTTGTCAGAAGCAGTCACAGCTTCTTCAGTTAAAAGCAATGATAACAATATCCATAAATGCTTACCAAATCTTAAATGATGCATTTGTAGGTACACATTTATTTATTTTTTTTTGTACAACAATAAAGCAATTAAAAGACTTTTAATTATGTTTAAATAAATGTTCACGGTATTGAGTTTACAAAAATAAATTATACGTAAATAACATGAATGCACCAGTTGCCCACAATACGAAGCTTTTTGTAAATATCGCCTGGGGACAGGGGACCGGCGTTACATTTTTTTAAAGTTTTATGGAAAACTGCAACTGTGTACCACTTAATATTAGTGAACTGTGTAATATCTAATAATTATAAAGTCATTGTTTGTGATAAATTCAATATTTAAGAAAAACTTAAAAGAAAACACAGATAAATGTGGTAGGAACACGTTTTTGCCCATTATCGTATTTTGTCCCATAGATATATCGTTAATTAAAATAACAAGAACTGTGAAATTACACGTCGTGTGGACGAATTCGTCTGTTTCGCAATATTTTAGATTAGAAAATAATTAATAAACTGAGATCGTACTGATTACGCCTGTTGGACAGGGACTGTGGCGTCGAATGCGATTAATTTTTGTTTAAACAACTGCCATGTTAAAATTCAACACATGTTTCAACTAGCACTGCTAAAGAAGTGGCCAAGAGAGCCTTAAAAACCTACCTGCATTCCTCTACACATGATTGCCTATATATTACATAGCTTTAATGTGAAATTTGGCCAGTAGACAGGGTCGTACAAATAACCTGGGTGGTGACCAATCCGTTGAGCGTATGTGACGCTATACGAGTTTAAATTAATTTCGAGTGTTATTTGAAAACTTATTTGGGTAAGGAACCTCAAAATTTTTGTGGATTTTTACGCAGAGAACCGAAATTGTGCCGAGCTCGTTTATTCTTACTAGGACTAGGGGGCTAATTTGAGGGTTGATTTAGTGTGTTAATTTCGGTTTTGTTCCAGATACGTTCCGCTGCACTCGGCCCGCATCGAGCTCTGCAAAGAATCAATCAAAGACACTTCCGATCAGGGTGCCATCTACCGCGAAATGGTCCACAACATAATCTCCCCGATAATTGCTCAGAAAGAAGTGAATCTCGTACGATACGACATCCATCATGCCTTACCAAACACGGCTAATGCTTTAATTGGTAGAGCAGCGCACATAGCTGTTTTGGACTCGGAACTTTTTATTGAGAAATTCATGGCTGTAGTTGGAATTAAATATTTCCGTTGATCTATTCTATTTATTAATAATAAGTTTTATAAAATAAATTAAATACATTTACATATTCCTAAGTAATTTTATACCTTCACTAGAGCAACATGTAGAACGAGTATGATTTCAATATGACACGTACGTTTTTTGACATTGAACACCTTGGTCACCTGCTGGCATTTGAGTTATCCCTTGGGTCGCACCTGCTGCGCGCGAACACCCCGTCGCCCATGGGCTCCCCCTGAGGCAGGCTGGGTCCTGGATCCTACCAACACACAAAGCCTTACTAGACGCACAACCGACCCGATCCGAGTCTAGTCCGGACGCACAACGAACCGCATCGAACTGTCAAAAATAGTATGTACTGACGACTGATCTTCGACGACGCTTCTATTCTGTAGAACGGAAAACCTGTATTGTTTCCACGTTACTCTAGTCCCCGATTTCGCCAAAATCTGCACGAGAAGATCCGACCTAGTTCTCGATTTGTAGTTGAGGTTTCCGCCCAATCTAGCGACAGTGATTACTCTTTTAGCGACTTGTCGTGCAGACGGTGGCAGTGTTATTAGTGTATTTTTACATTTGTACATTTCAATTAGGGTGGAATGTCATCTTGTAGCTCTTATTTGTTAAATCGACATTTCGTCTATTTTTTTAAACGTTTTGATGCCGAAATTATACCTGACTATGGTATACGTTTTATAAAATGTTATTGAATTAATAAATGTTTACTAAATTCTGGGCTCATTCTCTCCCTTCCACAAGTTTCGAACGCCAATTTTGAGGTTATGAAACACAACCTCACTTACGAATTCGTGCGCGACTGCAGGTGTTTTTACCGGTTGAAACAAATTACGCAAAAACTATTGTCATTGTTTAAGTATATTATAGTTGGACAACCTATACGGACAATCACTTTCCCATGTAGAAAAGAATGAATATATATTTTACATCTCACTCGCTTCACTATGAAGTGGCGGTACCTTACGAAAGTGGGTAAAAATAGTCTGTAAGCACGTGATGTCGATAAAGTAGTAAACGGACGTATTAATCAGTACGTTGTACGGGGAGCAGTCACAAAATAAGCAAACGTACGTGTTGAAGCCTTTACATATATGTAATATATGTATATATAGTGCATACCTGTTTCATGTGTGTGGTAGCACGTATATTTGCACAAAAACAAATAAAGGTTAAGGTAACAAAAATTTAATATTATCGCGGTATATGTATTATCCATGAATTGCATGGCTAACAAATATGCGTCCCTTCGTCCATTTTAAAGGCACGAAATTAAACGACCACTACTTTAATTAATAAGTAACAAGTCATCTAATTTGCCTCCAGAATAACTATGGGTTATCATCAAACTATGAACACCAAATTAATTCAATATGAACATCTTCTTACGTATTTTTTTTATTAACAGTAGTCAAATCATTAAATACATATTATTATCTTTGAAACTAAAATGCATTTTAATACAAAATATTTATTACCATTTAAATATATACGATTTAGACATCAAGAAATAAATTTAAAATCGCAAAAATTAAATGTAGCAGACTTAAAACAGCCTTAAATGCATCTTGTATGTACGTGCTTATCAGTATGTAGGCATTTTAACGCACATCAATAATCGTTCTTGATGAGTAATCCTCGAAATCGAAAATTTAAAACATTGAAAAATTCAAATAGGGGAAAATTGTAAAATCGAGAAATTGAACAATCGGTTAATTCAAAAAGCGAAACATCGAAAAATTAGAAAATCGAAAAATAAAAAAAAATTGGACAATCGAAAATTGAAAAATTTCGAAAATTGAAAAATTGAAATATGGAAGAACTGAAAACTCAAAAACTCGAAAAATTGAAACTTTAGGAAGTGGGGAAATGGGAATATAAAAAAATAGATTAATTGAGAAATCTGAAAACTAAAAATTCAGAAACGTGAAAATTTGAAAAATAAAAAAATATTGAAGAACTAAAAAATCGAAAAATCTAAAATTTAAAACATTGAAAAGTTAAAATATCCTAAAACTGAAAAATTGAGAAATCCAAACATCAAAAATTCAAAAAAATAAAAATTCAAAAATCTAAAATTTAAAAATCGAGAAACTGAAAAATCAACGAATCGAGAAGGGGAAAATTTAAAAAATTGGAAAATCGGATAAATCAAAAATCTAAACATCGAAAAATCGAAACATTGTAAAATTCAAAAATTGAGAGATCGAGAAATCGAAAAATCAAAAGACAAAAAAATCGAGGAGTCGAAAAATCGAGAAGTCGAAAAATCAAAAAATTGAGAAACCGAAATAGGCCAAAATCGAAAAATTGAAAACTTAAATATGGAAAAATTGATAAAGCGAGAGATTGAATAATCAAAACATCGAAACATCCGAATCTCAATAAATTGAAATCTCAAAAAATTTAAAAATTCAGAAATTTGAAGAATTAAAATATAGAACTGGAAACTCGAGAAACCGAAAAATCTAGAAATTTAAAAATTAAAATATGCAAAATTTGAAAAATTGAGAAATTGAAATATAAAACAATCGAAACATTGAAAAATCTAAAGTATAAAAAACAAAAAACTGAAAATCCAAAAATAAAAAATAGAAAAATCTAGAAGTCGAAAAATCAAAGAATCGAAGTATTGAAAAATATCAAAACTGAAAGAAATATCAAAAATTGAGAAATCGAAAAACCAATAAAGCGAAGTCGAAAAATCGAAGAATTGAAGAACTGAAAAATCGAAACTTTGAGAAGTGGGAAAATCAAAAATAGATTAATTGAGAAATCAGAAAACTGAAATTTTAAGGCAAAAATTTGAAAAATTGAAAAATTTAAATACTGAATAACTGAAAAGTAAAAAAATCGAGAAATCGAAAAATCTAAAATTTAAAACAATGAATAATTAAAATATCGCAAAATTGAAGAATCGAGAAATCCACTTCAATTTGAAAAATTGGAAAATCCAAAAATTGAAAAGCTCAAAAGAAAAAATCTAAAAACCGAGAAATCCAAAAATCGAAACATCGAAAAATTCAAAAACTGAGACTTGGAGAAATCGAAAAATCGGAGGATCGAGAAATTGAGGAGTCGGAAGCCGAAAAGGAAAGTTAAAAATCAATCAAAACAACGAAATATCTGAATTCGATAAATTGAGAAATTAAAAAATTGAATAATCGAAAAATTTTAAAAAAGAAAAACAGGAAAATCGAAAATTAAAATTCAAAAAATCGAAAAATTGAAAAATTGAAATATAGAAGAATTGAAAACTCGAGATATCGAAAAACCTAGAATTTTAAAAAATGGAATATTAAAACATCGAAAAGTAGAAAAATTGAGAAATCGAAGCATTAAACAGTCGCAGAATTGAAAAATCCATCAATTCAAAAATCGAAAAGTCGAAAAATTGAAATATTGAAAAATCTCATAACTGAAAGAAATATTAAAAAAATTGAGAAATTAAAAAATTGGAAAATTGAGAAATCGAAAATCTAAAAAAGCAAAATCGAAAAATCTTAAAAAATCGAAAAATCGAGAAATCGAAAAATCTAAAATTTAAAACATTGAATAATTAAAATATCGCAAAATTGAAGAATCGAGAAATCCACTTCAATTTGAAAAATTGGAAAATCCAAAAATTGAAAAGCTCAAAAGAAAAAAATCTAAAAACCGAGAAATCCAAAAATCGAAACTTCGAAAAATTCAAAAACTGAGACTTGGAGAAATCGAAAAATCGGAGGATCGAGAAATTGAGGAGTCGGAAGCCGAAAAGGAAAGTTAAAAATTGAAAAATTGAGAAATTGAACAATCAAAACAACGAAACATCTGAATTCGATAAATTGAGAAATTACAAAATTGAATAATCGAAAAATTTTAAAAAAGAAAAACAGGAAAATCGAAAATTAAAATTCAAAAAATCGAAAAATTGAAAAATTGAAATATAGAAGAATTGAAAACTCGAGATATCGAAAAACCTAGAATTTTAAAAAATGGAATATTAAAACATCGAAAAGTTGAAAAATTGAGAAATCGAAGCATTAAACAGTCGCAGATTTGAAAAATCCATCAATTAAAAAATCGAAAAGTCGAAAAATTGAAATATTGAAAAATCTCATAACTGAAAGAAATATTCAAAAAATTGAGAAATTAAAAAATTGGAAAATTGAGAAATCGAAAATCTAAAAAAGCAAAATCGAAAAATCTTAAAAAATCGAAAAATTGAAGAATTAAAGAACTGAAAAATTGAAACTTTAGGAAGTGGAGAAATGGGAATATAAAAAAATAGATTAATTGAGAAATCTGAAAACTAAAAATTCAGAAACGTGAAAATTTGAAAGATAAAAAAATATTGAAGAACTAAAAAATCGAAAAATCTAAAATTTAAAACATTGAAAAGTTAAAATATCCTAAAACTGAAAAATGGAGAAATCCAAACATCAAAAATTCAAAAAAATAAAAATTCGAAAATCTAAAATTTAAAAATCGAAAAACTGAAAAATCAACGAATCGAGAAGTCGAAAATTTAAAAAATTGGAAAATTGAAATATCGGATAAATCAAAAATCTAAACATCGAAAAATCGAGAAACCGAAAAGCAAAAATCGAAAAACCAACAAATCGAAAAATCGAAACATTGTAAAATTCAAAAATTGAGAGATCGAGAAATCGAAAAATCAAAAGACAAAAAAATCGAGGAGTCGAAAAATCAAGAAGTCGAAAAATCAAAAAATTGAGAAACCGAAATAGGCCACAATCGAAAAATTGAAAACTTAAATATGGAAAAATTGATAAAGCGAGAGATTGAATAATCAAAACATCGAAACATCCGAATCTCAATAAATTGAAATCTCAAAAAATTTAAAAATTCAGAAATTTGAAGAATTAAAATATAGAACTGGAAACTCAAGAAACCGAAAAATCTAGAAATTTAAAAATTAAAATATGCAAAATTTGAAAAATTGAGAAATTGAAATATAAAACAATCGAAACATTGAAAAATCTAAAGTATAAAAAACAAAAAACTGAAAATCCAAAAATAAAAAATAGAAAAATCTAGAAGTCGAAAAATCAAAGAATCGAAGTATTGAAAAATATCAAAACTGAAAGAAATGTCCAAAAATTGAGAAATCGAAAAACCAATAAAGCGAAGTCGAAAAATCGAAGAATTGAAGAACTGAAAAATCGAAACTTTGAGAAGTGGGCAAATCAAAAATAGATTAATTGAGAAATCAGAAAACTGAAAATTTAAGGCAAAAAT